TTTTTTTTTTTTTTTTTGTTTTTTACTTTCTTTTTTTTGAAACTACTTTCTTCAAGACAGTGAATTATAGAAATAAGATAGACTGTTTGTTGAAACATACATAGCACCAAATAAAGGGTCCTATTTGGTCGTAATTATATGATCTGCTTTCTCCTTGTTGCCAGTAGTAATTCTGAAACTTGTATAAAATTATACAAATCAAAAGAATGCTAATAATTTTAGATTACAATTTTTTATAAACGCAAAAATGATAAAGCAAAAGATTGCATCAGAAGCAGTGCGCACTAACTGCACTAGCAGAACTAAATTTCCTGAATCAGTTCAAAGGTATAAGTCAGAATAACTCTACCTTTCCCAAGTCATATTTCAGGTCCATTAAGTAGTCTTGCGGAAACACAAATGTTGCTTGCAAAAGAACAGCATATCCAAGCCACCAGTTAGCGTAAAAGTTCATGTTCAGCACGAAAAAACACTTTGATGCGACAAGAATGGCCTATGATAAGCAGAATTTGCAACATATTTTGGGCATTTTTGATGAACTTTGCCGAACAGGATGGCAACGAAACAACGCAGTAAGATCCACAATTTTTTGTCGTTTCTTCAGCTTGATAAAATCAGATAATAAGACAGAAAGAGAATTTAAGCAATTAAGCAAAATAGTGAAAATACGATTTAAAAAATAAAGAAAAGGTAAGAGGCATGAGGAAATTAACTACCGCTATATCAAAGTTCAGCTGAAAAACATCACATCCAAAATTATTTTCTTTTTAACTGACAGAACATCTGATGGCGACCTCACTTCGTTTGAATGTTTAAAGTTTTGCAGAACTTTTAGAGTTTTGATTCTTCAAAATTGTTGTTTGAAAAAGAACTTTCTTGTTTTATGGAGTTATCTTTTGCCCCATTTGCTGAGGTTATAAAACTAAACTAACGGATCAAAGAACAAGATTTATAAAAAAAAAAATTATCAGATACAGTCTCGAAAATCGAATACAACTATCGTCGTTAGAAATAAAGAAACACCTAGTAATTGGGAACAGTTGTTTAGTAAAAAAAAAGGGAGTTAAAGAGGTGTTCTATTGCAAATTTTTACTTTTTCTCCACCCTGACAACAAAATAATTTAATTTCCAAGAAATTTGCAGGAAGTACTGATAATTTGCAACAAACGATTGTTTGGTTTTTCAGAGTTTGGCAAGTAAATAAAAAGTTTACATATAACATACTCTATATTCATATTCACATCTATACACAGTATACAACAGGTAACTTATGCAATGAGTAATGCATACTATTTATATTATACATGTTGCATGTACTATATTTTATTGAAAAATGAACGAGTAAGTGAATAAATTAATAAATACATATTTATAATAAACATTTTTTGTTATATATGTAAGACGGAGATCAGCGAAGAGCCTAATATATGATATATCCGTGTTTGTTTGTTAAACAAGGCAGCTTTGTTTTCCCATTTTGCAAGCATTTGATTCTTAAACAGATGTAGTAGTTCAAAACGGTGTAATGCTTAGTGATTTGATTGAT